AAAAAAAGAAAACCGCTGGCATATTCTTTGTTCTTCCTTTTATCAAGAAGTGAATAGGAATGTTCCTACTCCCCCCTGGATGGGAGGCAGTTTAACTATAAGTTAACCATTCCACCCCCCACTGTGATTTCGTTCACCCTTTTCGCCCTATGATCAGTATACAAACTCTCCATACTGTTCTCCATACATTTCCTAAGGTGCTGACAAGGAGAATGTGCTTAACAATCAAGAGCTACTCTAGTTGGTTCTTGTTACCTTAATGTGTGATTCATGGGTGATATTGTAAGGAGAAATAAGATGTTAAAGGATTAAGCCTCCTTGACAGTTTGCTGATGCCCACATATTTATCTGAGAGGAGAGAATCGTTTTACTTCGGTGAATCTTGGGTCGTATATCTTTTTTGCTTCGCACCAGTCTCGTAAAGAGAAGTTACATACTGATCACGTCTAAAGAAGACAGGTTCACAGACTTACCTCTTGCTTCACTTGCTGCTCTAATGTCTGGTATCTCGTAGAAGATTTATTTTCCAAATCTTGATCAAATACTTGATCCTCAATGGTAATGGCGGCATCGACTCCCACGAGGTCTAACGATAGAAATTAGAAATTATCCGTTTCATCCCTATGCAGCCTGACAATGGGTGTTATTTTGCGCCGAAATTGATGTAATCTTTGTTTTAAAGCCCAAACTTTGTTAGAACGATTTTCAATCAAGTGCTGTGAAACCAAAACCAAAGTAATCGCAACAGCCAATCGAGAGAAAGGAAAATACCTTTAACCTTTTAACTCCCACGATCTCATTAGTAATTCTCCTTACTGTCTGTCGTACAGTCCTTCAGATGTTAGTTTCGAGAATTTGGTATTGGATCAACTTATAATCCCCTAATTTATATTTTTCTATATTCTCACAACTTGTCTGCTTGATATTGTATTGATATTGTAAGGAGAAATTCTGTCTTGGTCACTCATGTGAGTAAAAGGGTTAAAAGCCGATGAGAAACCAAAGTTATTACAAGCTAACCTTCTAAAGCGCGGGAAAACGTAGGCCAAATCATGGACCGTAGACCAAGTCATGGTTGGTTTTATTTTTGTATCTGATTGGTTGAGTGGTGGCGCGAGTTTTCTGGACTCAGCGTAGAACGAAATAAAGCAAAAACCAGTGTTATCTCGGATTGAAAATTGCTTTTTGATCATGACTGAAACTTTCTCTGTGATATATTACTCACCATCTCTCACTGTGACGTTGACACTTTTGACATCCCTTCCCACGCCATTCTCAGCGATGCATTTGTAAATACCGCCATCGTTATCACGGGTGTTGTAAATCAATAGCGAACTATCTTGTTGCATTTTTTTGCCTCGTACATATTTGCTACCATCGTCAAGGTTTGATGTTTCTAAAATATCACTTGCTGCTGTCACCAATTGTTCGTCTGGTGTTACCCAAGTGATATTTGGTTCTGGAAGACCTTCAGCGTGACAAGCAAGTGTCACGTTTTCTTCGGTGCCAATTTCCATTGCTGGATCAATGTAGCTGATTGAAGGTGGTGCTGGGGATAGAAAAAGTAGATAAGCGTCGGTATCCGAGCAACTGCGAATTGAAAAACAGTCAATCGATATCAAGTTAGGGTTAACGTTGGGTTAGGGGAGAGGTAGGTGTACAGAACTTTGCCTTGGGGGAGGGGTAAGTGCAAAGAACGATGGGTTAGGGGAGAGGCCAGTTGTTCGCGTGACCTGATCGTCCGTAGGAGAGTAGTCCTGGGAAAGACTGTCGTCGTTTGTGGTAAGTGACATTTCGACAACCCGAGCAGAAGTGACATTTCGACAACCTGAGCGAAAGTGACAATTCAGAAACCCGATTCAAGTGAAGAGTTTTTCATCAGATGAGAGTTGTGGAAACAGATCAGTCAATTTAGCCATGATGCTAATAGCTCTATGAGTAGAGGTCAGAAAAGCTTACCTTGACAAAGGACACCATCCCCAACGAATCCTTTCAGGCAAGAGCAGTTATATGAACCTACAGTGTTAGTACATTTAGCTTTTTCGTGACAATTGTTGAGATCGGGAGCTTGGCATTCGTCAAAGTCTGTTTAAGATGAAGAATGAGGAAAAGTAATTAACTAAATAGAACGTTAAACGAAGGTAAAGGAGTGAATCTTCAGACTGATTGCCCTTTCAAGCAGTTCGTGGGGTATAAAGTTGTTTCTGTTTAAAAGTAATGAAAAAAACCAATCAAACAAATATAAATACTGTAATGAACCAATGAGGGGTCAGATTACATGAATGACTTGGCAAAGTTTTCTATTATAGCAATTTTAACAGTTTTCACCCAAAAAAGTGTTGAATAAGGAACCAGTCATAATCTATTCCCTTGGGGGAGGAGTCGGGGAATTTTGGAGGGATCATATGATTTTCAGGGGGGACAGTGAGGGGATCAGTTGTCGCTTAAAGAGTATAAGGGGGGGGGACCACAGATAATTGACTATCAATGAGGGGGATCATTAGAATACTAGAGAGCTTTAGTGGGGGGGGGGGGGGAGGGTTAATAAATTGCGAGGAATTGTGAAGAGAGACGGGAAAAATAACATGATGGAGCTTGACGGCAAAAAGAAAAATGGCAAAATTTATACCTGTCGACTCAATTGATGTGGGGTCCGCCTGGTATTTTCCCAGCATGCCACTTTTTAGAGTTTCATTCATGAATTCGACCAACTGCCGCTGACTAATTTGAGTTTGTGCATCGATTTTAATGAGCACTCTTGGAATAACACTACCATTGCTGTAAAAACAGAGAAATGTCATGTTATATGGAGGTTAGTGACGGTAACAAATCCCAAGCCGAGAGCTTACCTGAAATCAAGAACGGTAGCTGCTACAAAGGATTGTCCAAGTATTGATTTCGACCCCATAAATGTCTTTTCCAGCTAAAATAAGGACAGAAGAGCAAACAATAAAGTTAATGTGAGCGTACTATTACCGAGTGCGAGTCGGTAACTTAACGAGAATTTCACCGACGATATCTTGGTTCAACGACGCTATCGCCCATTAAACTCCCTTTCAAGAAGTAATTTTCCCTGGTCTAAAAAAAAGAAATATGCCTACGTACATTACCTCAAGTTCCAAACCTCTTGAGAGGGATTTGAAGGTAGGAGATTCCATATCTTGAAGTTGGGCCGAAAACATCTCGTTCGTTATTTTGAATGACACGACATAGTTAGTGGATCTTCTCAACCCTGCAAACAGGTTAAGTGACCAAATAACAGATAAGTTACAACGGCCAATTAGAACAATCTTCAATAGCGCGGGAAAAAGGAGGTGTCCGAGTCGCAATTGGGTTTAGTTTTGTATCTGATTGGTTGGATATTTGGTGCGAGTTTTCTCGGCCAATCAGGAAACATTTAGCAAAATTACTTGATGCAATCCTGCATTACAAGCTGACAGCAATCAGCTAAAGTATTGCGCTAACTGAGTTCCACCTTAAATAAGGATTTTTGGGGGAATCACATGTTTTTCAGGTGAAACGGAGGGCGATCAGTCGTTTGTCGTAGAGTTTAAAAATGAGGGGGGGGGG